TTGTAAACACCAAAACGATCGTAACGATATACTAAAAACATACCAAAAGTAATAAGGACTGTGTCCAAGATCAGAGAAAAACGTATTACAATTATACATATTCTTATTCAAAATTAAAAAAAATCAATAAAAAATTAGTCCACAACTAATTTTAAAAGTAATGTTTTTCTTTTTGGTGAGTTTTTTCCCCTTTTGTCCTTTTGTTTTAGATAGGCCTGTAAACGAACCGAACGCACACGAACGAAGGTATGTTCATGTTCGTTCATTTAAAAAATAAACGAACATAAACGAACACGAACATAAACGAACAAAATTTTTTTTGTTCATGTTCGTTTATTAAGGAATATAACTTGTTCATGTTCGTTCATTTAATAAATAAACGAACATAAACGAACATAAACGAACACGAACATAAACGAACATGAACATAAATGAACACGAACATAAACGTTGGAGACCCTACCTTCCATTGTTCTTTCATGAAAAATAGTCGACAATGCAAATCAACCAAATCTACAGTGATAAATAGCGTAAGAGCTTATTAGCAGTGATGAAATGTTTGAAGATATCAAATATTTCGATCTATCTTTTAAAGATATTAAATGATTCACACGACTTTAATTTAACGCTATAACATTTATCTTAGTGTTCCATGATTACATATGAACAATCATTTTCCGCTATTACACTCTTTTTCAGAAATTGCATAGAAACCTTTGTTTTGTTTTCTGGCAAATTCTATATATTTTTCTTTTTACTGATGCTCATATACATCCGATTTTTACCTTTATCTTCCCATCTATTTCTAGAAAGAAGTATTATGTTTTCTTGAGTTTTAGATGTGAAGATACCCACAATAACTTTACATATCAACTATTAAGTCAAATAAAACAGAGAAAGAGATGAAAACAAACATGTAAAACTTCATATTGCACTATAATATAACTTGTTTTGAATCTTTCAGAGATCGTCTCCACTCTCCAGTGAATAATAAGGTTTGGGAAAAAAAGGGGAAAATGAATATAAGTGCGAGGTGCCTCACAGGTTAACATATTGGATTTAATCTCCAAATAAAATTGGGTTAATTATGGAGTTGGTCATCAAAATATCAGATTAATATTTTTAAGATACTTACAAATTGGTCACCAAAATTGATTTAAGAAGATTGTGTTAAACATAAATGAATGAACATAAACGAACATAATCGAACGAACATAAACGAACATAACCAAACGAACATAACCGAACGTTCACGAACGTAAATGAACGAACGAGACCTATGTTCATGTTTGTTCATTTAATTAAACGAACAAAAAATCTTGTTCATGTTCGTTCATTTAATAAATAAACGCACATAAACGAACTTCCCACCGCACGATTCATGAACGGTTCGTTGAACGTTCAGTTCATTTACAGGCCTAGTTTTAGAGCAATAAACATTAATGAATTCAAATGAAAGTGATATTCTGACGTGGATGTAAAAACCAAACTTGGAAAATTCATATTACTTTCTTTAATTGAGAAAAAGCACGGTGGTTGTGGTAGATAGGAAAAAAAGTGAAGACAAAGTAGGAAAGTTCTCATCGCAATTATAATTAGAAGTTTTTAGAATGCGTCTGGACCAAGGATTTCATAGAAGATGTTTATCAGTGAAAATCTTTACTATATTTATTCCAAGTGGTGTATGCAATAGTATATTTTACTGGTTGTGGTATGTAAAAAATAAATTCAAGCATAATATATATATTAAAATAATTGTTATTTTGCGATGAGTTAATTGCATCACGTGTCTTAAAGTATGACTCTCATTTTAATTTGATCTCTAAACTTTTAAATGTTCTAATTTCATCCCCAAACTATGACCTTTATTTTAAATTGGTCTCCAACATTTTTAAACATTCCAATTTCATCCCAAACTATATGTATATACTAATCATATCTCTTGTTAATAAAATTGTAAGGCAAAATTATATTATTATATGTTTGAAAAAAAAACAAATTTTAGGTTAAATTATGGTTGAAACTAATTCCATATTTGGATGAATTTGGGATTGAATTGGAATATTCAAAAGTTTGGTGATCAATTCAGAAAGAGTGTCATAATTAGAATGTTAAAAAGTTTAAAGACTAATTTAAAATAATAGTCTTAGTTTAGGGATGCAATTGAAATAATTAAAAGCTTAAGGACCCATTTAAAATAAGGGTTATAGTTCGAGAATATATGATACAATTAATTCTTTTGTGATACATGTTTTATTATTTTCTTGTTTATTTTGTGATAGTTGTTTCATGATCTTGTTGGTTATTTGATTATAGTTTCCAGGGTAAATTATATATTTAGACACTCAATTATTCTCACGGTTCTATTTTGGTTACTCAACTATTTTTTTCAAAAGCATACATAACATTATATTTTAGTTCCATTTAAGTCACTCGCCGTTAAAAAAATAACGGTTATGCTAACGAATCACCACGAGGTACTGCCATATCATCATTGAAAAAAGCTTAATTAGAAAATATGTGCCCAAATTATATCGTTTTTCTTGAATAGGTGCCTAAACTTTTTTCGATTCATCCAGGTGTCTAACATTACAAACGTTACAACTTTAGGTGCCTCAACCATATCTTCCGTTAAAAAACTTTGTTAAGTGATATGTGTTATATTCTAATAACTTTGATAATTCTATTTTTTTAAATAAAAGTATTAATTTATTTAAAAATTACCCAAATTTATCTTAAATTACAAAAAAGCTTTAAATCCCTAAAAATTATAAATCCCTAACCCTAACTCATCGATTCATCCTTATCGACCATGGCCGCCACTGCCAACGTCATCATTTTCATCTTCTTAGTCAGACGTTGTCATCCTTATCGTCAATCAGTCGTCGAAATCGTGTGGAGTTGCGATTTGTATCATCGGGGTTCATTGGGGTACACTTGGTCATCAATTGGCTCATGTTCTAGTGGCTTTTCATGGGGTTATCGATCATTGGGGTGAAGGTGAGGTCAAGTGGAGGTTCATTGATGACAAAAGGCAACGGGTGAGATGAATTTAGGGATTGAAATTAGGGTTTTCAAAGTTTTTGAGTTTTTTTAGTTTTTTGAAATTTTGGGTTTTTTTATAGATATAATAATATTTTTAATTTTTAATCTTAAATAAAAATTTTAAAATTACAAGAACGTGACATGTGTCCTTTTAACGGCATAATTTAACGGGGTTACGGGTGAGACACCTAAAATGGTAACGTTTGTTACTTTAGGAAGAATTTAATAACTTAAATCTCAAAATAATTCTTAAACACCTCAATTTTAAAAAATATATCCCGCCCATAATATTCTCAAAATTTACTCGATGAATTCATAGGATAAAAAATGGTGGTGGGGCCAATACCCGACTAGTTTTGAACCACAACAACATGGTCCTCAATAAGGCAAAATTGGCCAAGTATGGTCTACGGGCTTTTTATTTAGCCCAATAAGATAAAAAGTTTATTTTGAGTTTTACGATATTTTTTTACAGTGACATGAAACTTGTCATGTTGAGATAACGAGTTTCAATAAAAAAAATATTTTTTATTTAAATTTTTTACCTCGATTAGATAAATTTTAGTAAAACATTATATTTTATTAGAACTCCACATCTCGATGTGATGAGTTTGAATAAAAAATATTTTAATGGAACTCTTAATCTCTCATGAAAAATTTTGTGAACACCGTAAAAAAATATTGTAGATAACAAAATAAACAACTACTTACCTTATTTTTCCTAATAATTTACTCATTTGCCCTATTGAAAAAAAAAACCCTCAATAAGGACTTGGTCAATGCCATAGCCGTCATTTGGGTCTTCATAAGACTTATAAATAGTTGGGTTGATATACCCCCCGAACGCTCCATTTCACCCGAGTTTGGCCGATAATAGAGGTTTGATCCAGCGTAGATTTTTATGCATAATATATATTTGACCATTTAATTATTTTCTCTTTCCATTTTGATAATCATTTTAAAACGTTTTTCAATCAGATCATTTAATTATTTAAATATATTTAATTAAATTAATTACCGTTAGTATTTAACAAAAATATTGACCTGACAATTAATAAAATTGATATAATTATACATTTGATCCTCAATATTTATATATTCTATTAATTTGATCATAATTTTAAATTAATTTAATAAATTTAATCCCTAATTAGGTGGTGAGACCTTATTTTATACAAAATATTGTGAAGAAATAATATGCAACTAAAGGGGACTGAACCAACAACATAAAGCTCTCCTTGGCGATAACCCCTCACTTGATAACGCTTTACAACCTTTTATACATAAGTTGTTATAACTAATCGTAGATAAAAAAGGAAACTAGCATGCTTGTAAAGATATTCAAACTTAAGAATTTAAGAGGACGTGCAAGAACCTTAGCACTTGAAATATATTCGATTAAAGTTTATAATATTTTTTATATATAATTATCAAATTGAGATTTTTTAAAATAAAAATAAAATTTAGACTTTTATATTTTTAAACTATAGTTTTTGTATAGATTTTTTTTATATATAATAGTTAAATCAATTTTTTTAAATGTAATTGATAATTTTAATTTTATTTAAAGATTATTAATTATGTTAAAAATAAAAATTATACTTTGGTTATATAAAAATTTAAATATAGTTTAAAACATAAACTCAAGATCTAGTGAAATTAATTTTCAAATTAATTTTAAAAATATTTAAAAATATTATACATATTGAATTTAATTTTAAAATATTAAATTTATTATTATTATTATTATTATTTATATAACTACCGGTACCTGATCTATTGATCGACTAATTTAAATTGAATATTGCAGAGGCGATACTCTCCCAACCCAATTTGCTTCATTCGTAAACACCAACATTTGAAATATATTTTAAATCTTATATTAACTATATTTTTAAATATATATGTGAAGACACTTAATTTCGTCCGCCCATATTACGTTATATGCTATTATATTATATAATATATATTTACTTATTAATTTTGTATTACATGTACAAGCTAAAGACAAATAAAAATACACCAAGCCCAAATACCACAATGGTCCAACAGCTGCACCAGACCAAAACACGCAGGAGCATAACAGTCTAATACCCACTTGAAGTAACCCAAGTTGTGATCAGCGACCCGAGCCACAACCGGGTTCATGATATGCTGAAACGAATAGGCAGATTAGGGTTTACTAACCCTAATCTCTTCTCCCCATCCACAGTACCGCAAGCATCTTGGCCAGCCTCCGATTTTCACGGCCACACACCAACCACTTCGAATCGTTCGCCGCAAGGATCTCATAAGGACCATCACCAATGCCACACAACACAACAGAAACAACCAAGGAGCATTTGAAGTCTAAATCAAATAGGACTCTGCTAAAATTAGTATTTCGTATACTATAAATAAGTGTAAACTCAAACATTTGGGGGATACCAGAGATTATACACGCTAAAATACTCAGAAATAAGAGGGGAAGTATTTCGAAACAGGGGCATTCGAAACTAAAAAACACAGAGTATTCAGAGGAGAAAAATCAAAAGAAAAGAGAAGGGTTACCCTTACCGATGATCGTCGACCAGTTTGAGGTTCATCGGAGTCAAAAGAATCCGAGTAGTTTTCCCTAGATATGCGATTCTAGGGACCCCTTTTGATTAAAAGAATTTCAGATCCATCATCAGTGTGAAGAAACACGTCGGATCGTGCTTTTCTCTCTCTTCTTCGGCGGCGACGAACGGCGGCGGCAGTCAGCACGGTGAGCTCTATTTCGGTTGAAGCTCCAGAGAGCTTCCTTTTTTCTATCTATGCGAAATGAAATGAGTTAAAACAAATTAAAGGGGAGATGGGGTGAAGGTGGAGTTATGGTCCTTGGTCTGGATACTATTCACGCAAAGGACGATACACTAATGCGTGGGACCCATATATGTTGTTTATATTAAGACACATTACTGCTCTTTCAATTCAAATTTAAATGCAAGCAGGAATTTAACCCGCATTTATATTTTGTTTTTATTATATTTTCATCATTTTATTATTTCTACTCACTTTTATTTATTTTTACTTATTTATTTTTTTCATTTATTTTATTATTATTATATTAATATTTTTTTATTATTCATTTTTTATATTTATTTTTATTTTTACAATCTAACCTTTTTTGACCTTTTAAAGGTAATTTTAATTGATCAAAGGTAATTGTTCGAATTGAATTTTTAAATTTCAATTTAAATTTCATTTTTTTGCAATTAAAACAACCGACAAATTAATTGGTACCGAAAGGTCGGTTCAAGGGTGCTAATCCTTCCTTGACCGTAACCGACTCCCGAGCCCGACACGTTTCTGGTAAAACGCAGATCAGGTAAGATGGTGTTTGACCCACCTAAATTCATTTTGAAATGGTCGGTGGTGACTCTTAACCCAATTCATTCAAGTCGAAGCCCAATTCCGAGGCCCAACCGAAAGACGGTTCCGACAGCTTGGTGACTCTGCTAGGGACATGTAAGTGAGTCAGGCCAGAATTAATTTTCGGTTGTCTTTTATGCGAAAAAGGTAAATTTAAATTTAAATTTATTTATTCGATTCCAATTATTTACATTTGATTATTTTTTCAAATAAATAGTTGTACTGATGTTTTTCTCAATGATTTCAGATTTTCAAAAGTTTCTATCTCTGGCTCTATACCCGAGCTCTGAACCCTTTTAAGTGGGGTGAAAGTGACGCCTTCGTGATAATTTATTCTCCGCACATGCCAAGCAAGTAACCTTCGGGATTCATATATCTTATTTCTTCGTGTGAATTCATTCACCGCATATGCATAAGGGAATGTATCATCTCGAGTTTAACTTAGTCCACATAAGCTTGTAATGGGCTTAGGAGTAAGGGTCTGGCAAGCCCAATGGGGCACCAGCAAGGAGAACTCGAGTACCTTTTCAGAACCTAAATCGGGAGAGTACAGGGATTTAGAGCCCACCCCAAAACCTCATTCCAAACCCTAGTCTGCTTTGATTTTATTTCCTTCTTTACTTTTTGTTCAAAGCATGCAAACTAGACAAATATGCGATTAGGATTTGTTTGAAATTAACATGTGGGATACAAATCATGTCCGGTAGGAATTAAAGCATGTGGGGTAGATATCATGTGGGGTAGGATTTTTATTTTCATGATTGTTTTTTTTATCTTTACCTCACTAACTCTTTTTTATTTTTGTTTTCTTTTATTTTAGTTTCATCTTTTGCATCACTCATTCAAAAGAGGTATTGTTCCACCAAAAACGAGTTTGTTAAACGTAAATAATTTGCATTAATAGACAAAGGGGTTGTAATGCAAGAGATAAAAAACACAGAGCTCCGGCTATGGTCAGGGAGACAATCTATAAGACAATTCAACAAAGAAGACGTGATACCCACAATTGAAGAATATGCCACTATGCTACAGTGTAAAGGACTCTAAATGGATCGTAATTTACACCGTGCACACCAAAGTCAAATTTTTGAGCTGGAAAATGTTGCAAGGGTAGACGCGAAAAAGGTTAATGACCTGGTGAGTTCCTTCAAAGATAATAAGAACAAAATGACAAAGCGATAGCTTGAACTGAAGGCCATTGTCTACAAATTCAAGAAGCAATAATATGAACTTCAGATAATCCCTTTAATGGAGGATTTCAATGGTGTTTCCTTTAGAGAACATGTTCAGCAAAGGATGAAAGCCAGAGATGCAATCATTCGATATTTCTGGGAACAAAAAGAAGATCGTCACTTGCACGATTTAGCCAGATAAGCCGGAGCGGTTCGGCAGGGCATTCGATCGATGAAAGACGAAGGCAAATGACTAGTCAACCTGTTCCGGGTCTAGCGGATTTAGTCAGAATATACCTTTGATATTTTTGTCTCTTAAAAGACAAAACACTTTTGTCCCAATAAAGATTCTTTATAATAACATACATGTTTTTGGATCAATGCCTCGAACATCTCATGCATTTTGCATCTACATTCATTTTTAAGCATTTTCATAAACATGAAATTTCTTCACGTAGGATTCGATGAAGTGGTCTTAACCACATGACACCACATGGAAGTAAGATTTTAGCAATTAAAGAAAAAACTGAAATCAGTACAGTGGGAGCTTGATCAGCTTATTGTAGAACTAAGCCTGTCAGGATGATCTGAGAAAAGAGTCCTCATATCCTAAGGGCTACGATGTTGAAGCTGCTTGCAGTTACCACATAGGAAGCTCCAAATATTCCTTTGAGAACTGTAAGGCACTGAAGCACAAGATCCAAAACCTGATGGATTCAAGGGCATTGCATATACCATTTGCTTTTAGAGTATTGTATTGTTTGAACACGTCTTTAACCTTTCATGTTTGCTTAATCTTTTAAACGATTGAATTTATGGTACTTTCTAAGGTGGAATAATTGAACAAATTTTAATCTTTAGTTCTTCGAATATTAAATGAATTAAGGATTCTTTTAATTATTCAAGAATTATAGATTTTTGACATATGGCAAGATTAGACCTTTCTTATCATGTCTTAAATCTCAAAATAAAATACCTTGATTCTTTACCCAAAATAATTCATGGTCATTCCCAAAAGACCAGGTTTTGACATTATCACCCTTTGAAACTTTTTGAACCTTTCTTTGAGTCAATAAAGTTACACCACTGTCTTTTTAGACTCAAAATTGACTTTTTTTACCACTAAGACCTAAGGCATTGAGTTGTTCATTTGAACATGAGCATTCTTCTAACTCGGGGCATTTCGCAGGAGCCTGAACATTAAGACATGTCGGGACCAAGAAGTAGAAAGAAGAATTCATTCAAAATAATTCTATCATGCATTAATTATATTGTTTTCGTGTGAATAAAATTAATCTTGAAAATCTATCCACTGGGGATACCTCTTCTGTGAAGACTTCCATGTATGAAATGATGAATGACTTTCTTTCTTTATCACTTCACAACAAGAGAAAATATATATCCCTTGTGTCCCCTTTTGAACTTATAATATTTTTCTTCTGATTCAACCTTAACCAAGGATCACCCTCCACACTGGGGGGCAAGGTGGAAGAAATCTGCTCACATGAGTGAAGACATCAATCCAAGGAGATACCAAAAGGTGAACCAAATGCCAAGTGCAAAGATCCAATCAAGAACAAAAAGAGAAGAAGGAAAAAAGAGAAAAACAAAGCAAAAAAGCAAAAAAAAACAAAAAAACAAAAAACAAAACAAAAAAAAAACAAAGGAAAAAGAAAACAAGGCGCATATGCAAAGATTCCCTCGATTCAAATGATGTATCGAGATTTAAATTATGAGATTGATCAAGCACAATCATTCCAGAATCACTTCACTCGAAGTTCATGTAGCATCCAGAGAAAATCAAGAGAAACACATATGAGCAGATTCAAATTGAGCAAGATAGGATTTAAGGCATCAGAATGAATTGATCCTTGGTTCAATACCCTGAAACACTTGTTTGGGCCTATTTATCATTTTCTTTCATAACCATGAACCATGACCTACATTACGTGTCTTAAAAGTCCCTTCTAATCATACATGAAGTTCTGAACAGAAAAGACTATCTTCAGATCTCATCTCGTCCATCAGGATTAATCTTTATTTGCAAAAAAACAATGTAATTAATGCATGATAAAGAAAAATAACAAAGGGGGTTCAAGACATAAATTCTGAATGACGTCTTGAAACCAAAAGAGGATTTGAGTTGAAAACCTGAAAAGGCGGCTCGAATATAAAAATTGGGCAGCTGAGACGATAGCACAAATTCCTTAATAAGGCATCGCACAATCCGAGCGTGACCATGAAAGCTGGGAGTTAGAGAATACTTCCAGTAGAGGAGTATACAAGCTACCCCATCAAACCTTTAAGAATCAAATAAACAAAAATGCCAAACCTTTGACCAAACACAATAACCTGAGACTTTTTTATTCTTTCCTTACTTAACCATTTCCCAAAAATAGCTTTGATCATGGCACTAGTCAAATAGCTATAATTTATTGAAAGATTAACAATTTAATTAATTCTTTGATATCCAATGAACTCTAGTTTTATGATTCGTCTCAATTATAAAATTGTGAAAGGGGCAATATTTTCAAAACTTTTTCAAAACTCTTTTAATTGATATTTTCAGAACTTTGAAAATAAAAGAGAAAGAAAAACATTTTTTTCAAACAAGACAATCTCTCTAGAGTGGATCTTGGTAAATGACATGTGACTCTCAGACACTAATCTCATGCTTAGAATCAATGTTGAAGCAAGAAATGAGGAACAATAGGGGCACCTTTGAAGATACAACATCAAATGTTGGGGCATTTTTGGAGATTCAACATCGAATATTGGGGCATCTTCGGGTATTCAAAATCCTGATACGAACGATCAGATCTTCCGAAGGACTTTCCTCCTCATGCAGGAACCAGCAGACAAAAAAGGAGATTCTATCCGAGGAATAAAAAAAATTCATTATGCATACATTTTAGAGCATCATTTTTTTCACATACATAATTTTTACAGGTTTAGAGTCAATTTCAACTTCACAATGAAGGATATTGGACTCAAAGCGACACCATTTACTCGAGATTGGATTTCAACTTCACAACGAATGACATCTAACTCAAAGCAACATACAAGCTTGGATTTCAACTTCACAACGAAGGGCATCCAATTAAAAGCTCAATTTCAAAGCGAATGAGCCATGCACAGTTTCAACTTCACGAAGAAGGATATCATTTGACTTCCTTAAGTCAACGATTAAAGCTTCTGAAAGGATTTCTTTAACATGCATGAACAAGAAAATTATCGATCACCTTTGAGATTGTTTCTCTCG